AATGTGAAGCATGCATGGAACACACAGTATGCAGAGTGTAGCTGCAGTGTGGGACGTGGAGCATGCAGCAAGCAGTATGGAGTGTGAAGCACACATGCAGCATGGAGCATGGAGCATGCAGCATGGAGTACACATGCAGCATGGAATATCTGGCACATGGCATGCAGTATGGAGCCTGTATGGAACATGAAGCATCTGGTATGCAGCATGCAGCATTTAGCATGTATGAAGCATGAAGCATGTAGCGAGGAGCATGTGGAACATGGAGTCCGCAGTGTGCAGTGTAGAGAATGTAGCATGCAGCTCACAGGGTAGAGCGTGTAGCATGTAGCATGAAATGTGAAGCGTGTAGCACGCGGCATATAGTATGTATCTGAGAACACACAGTGTGGAGCCTGGAGTGTGTAGTCAGTTCTACAGCCCATTTGCCAGCCTGGAACTCGACACTGCCACCTCCTGGCTGTGTGAGTTACAATGTCTCCACAAGCCACCCCTGTCAGGTGCCGCCAGAAGGCGCCATCGGGCCTGGACAGCGGTGCCCTCAGAGCTGGTCCCAGAAGAGGTGCTCAGTCGGTGCCGGGTGTGAGCTTGGATGTCCTTGCTGTCGGCTCTCAGCCAGGTTCACGGCTCTGGCACAGTGAGACCAGCTGAAGCAACATCACCACCAAGCAGTGTGTGGATGGACTAGGTTCGGCCAGGCCTAAGCTAATGCCTGACACTGAGCACTGGGAAGCAAAGGTCAGCTTGCACTTCCGGCTAAGTGTTCAGAAGTCAGCTTAAATGTGGTTCCTTCCCGATCACAGGTGGAGACACACTCACACTGGGATCTCCATCCCCCAGGCCTGTCCTGACAGAGGCGCCCACTGTGTCTGCTACGCCAAGGCCTCGGTCTGGGCCTCCCGTCCGCATGAGCCCTGGAACACAGTGCCCCCGGGGCAGACATCAGCTGGGAGCCTTTGCTGCTGAACTCAGTGCCCAGCATCAGGCCCACCACCAGTGTCTCTGGACTGAAAGGACAGGCTCCATGCCCGGGCACACCCAGAAAGCCAGGCCAAGCCCTCTGCTAGAGATCAGCTGCATTGGCACCTGAGGGCTCCCTGACCTCTGCTGCCCACCCTCAGGCGGTCAGCAAGCCTCCACATCTACACGCTTGCAAGTCTGCGTCATGGGTGCTCAAGTGGGGCTATGCCTCCCGGGGGCTGGGTCTACACCGCAGCTGAATAAGAGCTTCAGGGCCTGGATCCCCGCCCACCATGCTGGCACCTCATTTCCATTTGTCATCACTCCCCGGGGACCCATGGTTACCCTGGGCCATCTCTGTGCTGAAGGCTCCCTCTGATGAACACCGAGGAGACAGGCGCATGTATTTGTGAGTGTCCTCACTGCTTTTCTCAAGCACTGCAGAGTGGGGTCAGCCCAGGGACATGAGAGCCCCCAGGACTCACCTTGCCCACTGCCCCTCTGCCCTCTCTTGTCCCCTCCAACAGCAGGCCAACTTGAAGCCCCCGTCTTGCTGAGCAAACTGCTGACAACCATGAATGGCCATGGCAGAGGGAGCCCCTGCCTCCCCCTGGAGAAGCATGCCCGTCCCGCCACAGTGCAAGGGGACACACTGTAAGCCAGGACCCTGCCCCAAGCTTCACCACACAGCGTCCAGTGCTCTCATGCTCACGGGCACCCCTGGCTGGGCTCCCAGGAGGCCACCACAACCCGTGCTTGGCCCCAAAGGGTAAACTGATGTATGTATGTCAGGGCGTTTGTTGTCCCAACACTGTCCTGTGGGTAGGAGAACCCACCACATCCTTAACATGCACGGAGTCGCGGGAAAATTAACCCGTGGCAACTGTTCTCCCACCCATTTGATGGGCCAATGTCAGCTCATCTGTTAGAGGGAATAAAAAAGTCAACCCTAAATGCATAAAAAATTATGACGGAAGTCCTGAATAAAGCAGGGTCCGCAAGCTCATTGAGTCGAAAATCAATCGATCAATGAGTGAGTGGATTAGCAGCACCTCATCAGCCCCAGGAAGAATTTGCCCAAACACTGGGATTTAATGCGGCGCACCAAATTCCAACACTTTTAGGAAGTAAATAATGAAAAATCAATTCAAAGGAAAAACAGATCAAGAACCCTGGGCCCTGACGTGCCGACACATTTATTGCTGAATACCGTTTCTTGGCTGACCCGAAAACTTGGGAGGTGTTTATTTACTCTCAACACCTTCCAGAGATCAATATTTTTAATTTGGATCCCAGTTATTATTTTTCACATCACAGCAGCGGGCGCGGAGCAAAGTGGCTCATATTTTAGTGCTAAAAAGATCGATATGACAGCTTCACCTTCCCCGCAGCCCGCTGCTGCCCGCCGCACATCACCGCGTCCCGCGGGGAGGCAGGTGCCGCAGCGCTCGGCAGGTCATTACCCCGCCAGCCCGGCCGACAGCCGTGATTTAGCTGGCCACGGAGGGCCCGTTGCCCTCAGAAAACCAATCTGGCTTCTCTCACTTCATCAGCCTGTCTCGCCCACCTGAGGAAGGGAGGGAAGCCAGCCCGGGAGGACCGGTTCCGAAAGCTGGTGAGCCAAAGAGCACCTCATCTGCCCATCGTCCTCCTTCCCAGATCAAAATCTACCTAGAATCCCCACTAACTTCCCATAAATCCCTCTAAAGCCCTATTTAGAAGAGCAGACATGGTGGGGCATAAGGGACGGCCACTCAAGGCTCACCGGTCACTGCCGGGCCCAGCTGTCACCCCAAGAGTGGCCACCGGACCACTGCGGAGGGGAAATGACGGCCCTCCCCAGGAACTACCACATGGACAGAGACTGCCCCAGCCACCTGAGACCACGGGCCCCTGGTGGTCAGGTGGGGGCACAGCAGCCTATGGCCCAGGATGCTCATGGGCTGACCGAGGGGCTGCTTCAGGGATCTGCAACACCTCACCTCTCCACCGACTCATGTCACGTGCCAGATGGCCAATGCCACTTACAACTGCAGGACTCGGCCCTGTCCTGCACTGTGTGGGCACCAGGACACCTGTGACCTGGAAAATCAGGACTCTGGTCCCACTGATGCTCAGGTGACAAAGGGCAGGGCTGTTGGTATACCTAAATGTCCTGCCCAGAGCTGTGCCTAGCTGGTCAACAGCAGTGTCCAGCACACAGGAACTCTCAGACCAGTGTCCAGCCCTGCTAGCACTCCCAATTCTTCCTTCTGTCTCATCCCCTCACCCTTGGCCTAGCACAACACATGGCTCTACTGAATGCCTGCCACTTGGTGCCCACTGCCCATCCAAACTCAGCCCAGGGGACTGAGGTCCTAGAGCACACAGCCTGTACCAGCTTCTGTCCCCAGATGTCATCACCACACACCACAACAAGGACCTCGGGCTGCTGACCTCCACCTCGCTCCCTAACACTCAGCTGCCCCTCCTGTCCTGCTCGGGAACCCATAGCGCCTGCTAGCACCATGGGGCCCTCACCATTCTGTCTGGGCTGGGTGACGCTCACCAACCCAGCTCACATCCTCTGTCTGCCCTTTGGCCCCCAGTGGGCAAGCACACCATGCTGCCCTTCCTCCCAGAACACCACCTGGACCCCATCCCCAGACACGAGGCCTCAGGGTCTCGTCCAGGCCACTGCTGGTCCACCTGCCCCATCCACGGAGAGCTGTTTACTGCACACACATCTGTCAGCAGCAAGCTGCAGAGCTCCAGAAGACCACGCTCGGCCAAGGGTGACAGACTCGAGCGGAGAGCAGGCCTCAGGCCCCACTCAGAGGACACTGACCAGGGGCCTCAGCAGGACAGAGACCTGGGCTCCCAGGACCAACTGCATGCCTCATAATCTTCTCAGGATTTGATCAAATCTGACTCCCAGCTGTGGCCCCAAACTCCGAGGCCCCGCACAGTAGCAGCACCACCTGCTGGTGGGAGAGGGCGCTGGGGCTGGAAGTGTCTGCGGCCCCACACCACACACTGCGCACGGCTCCAGGTGCAGCTTCTGATCCACCGTCCTTCTGGGAACAGGCCACTCTGTGCTGATCCCTATTAATGCCTGTGACAGCATTTATGTACAAGATAAATTCATTTCAATTTCCTTGTTCAATTAATGGCCTATTATTCGAACCAGACTCAGCTGAAAATATTGCTCCGACACCATTAATCTTGCAAAAATTAAATTCTCCTCCCTCTGACAGCCAGAGGCCACCAGCTGGGGCTGGAGGAGTGGACACTGGCTGGATGAGCAGTGGCCACCCTCTAGGACACAAAGAGTCTCCACCAGCAAAGACTAATCCTGGGCAAACAACAACGGTGTCTTGGGGCGGGGCTGAGGGGACTTTTATCTCCTTTTATCTCCACATGGCAAGACAACCAGAAAACCCCTCCCCTAGGCCAGCCCTGGCAGAAGTCCAGACCATCAGGCATCTAGGACTACATGGACACGTCCCCCGCCCTCCACCTCTAGCCACCAGAGCTCCGACAAGCCAGTCACCAGGCCTTACACAGGTCACCTAGCAAATCCAGTTCCAGAAAGGAGGGCAGATGGAGCCCTCGACTTCCCCATCTTGAGCCAAGCCTTCTGAAGGCAGTGGACAGCTGGAGACCTGGTGTGGGGGCAGCAGGCCGGCTGCCCGCTCAGTGCTGACACCTGGGGTGGCTTGTGGGCCTGTCCATAGTACCAACAGGAAGATTCGGCCACACCGAGTATGGTCCAGTGAGCACGTCTCAACTGCACACCCGATGCCACAGGAAGGCTCCACATAAACCACCTCAATCCCTGGCCAGTGCCAACCTGGTGGGGAGCAGCTCTGAAACCCCCGAGGGCTGTCACGATTCAGGTTCAGCAGAGAGCCTGTGACCCACATCTGACACAGTTCTGCTCAGCAAGGAGCTCTCCGAGACCTGGCCCCCCAGACGCGTACTCATAGCATGTGTGTGTGTGTGGCCCACCGCACGCCCAGCAGCCCCGCATGCTCGGAGTGTGGCAGGAAAGGACTCACCGTGAAGTGTTCCTGGGACCTGTAGTTCTCATCCAAGTAGACACGAGCCTTGCTGTACTCCTTCATGGCGTCGCTCGACAACAGTTCCCTGGAGTGAAGAGCGACACGTCAGTGCAAAGACAACTCCGTGGCGTGGACACTGGCCATGTCTACAAAGCCACGCTGGGTGCTGGACACAAGTGATGATAGGAGCACACCGCTCCAGCCACCCCACCCAGGAGGAGCAGGCTCTGCAAACCCTATGGACCCTGATCTCACCTGGGATCACAGTTCATCTGTCTCTCAGAAGACACGGGGTTCACTAACAAGTCCCCCAAAGTAGCCAGAGCTCAAGCTATTCACCACTTGTTCCTCCATGGATAAGAAAAGGCGAGCAGAGCGGCAGATCAGACAATCAGGAAGGAGCAAAGAAGGTGCGCCTCGTGACCAGACATGGCCATGCGGGCAGTAGGTCTTCCCTGCTGTGACCCATCACACATGAGCCCCATGAAGGCAGAGAAGAGAGTGGGGTCTGTCTTCTGGGGGCTCATGTGTGATGGGTCCAGGTGAATGCACCAAGAAGTAAATCCATCAGGAAAGGGGACTGGGAGTATGTGTGTGTGTGTGTGTATGTGTGCGTGTGTGTGTGTGTGTATGTGTGTGTGTTTGTGTGTGTGTGTCTGTGTGTGTCTGTGTGTGTGCTTGTGTATGTGTGTGTATGTGTGTATTTGTGTGTGTGTGCATTTGTGTATGTGTATGTGTGTGTGTATTTGTGTGTGTATGTATGTGTGTATGTGTATGTATATATGTGTGTATATGTGTGTATGTATGTGTACATATGTGTGTATGTGTATTTGTGTGTATGTGTATGTATTTGTGTGTGTATTTGTGTATGTGTGTGTATATTTGTGTATGTGTGTATTTGTGTGTATTTGTGTGTGTATGTGTATGTATTTGTGTGTATGTGTGTGTATATGTGTGTGTATTTGTGTATGTGTGTGTATATTTGTGTATGTGTATTTGTGTGTATGTGTATGTATTTGTGTGTGTGTATTTGTGTATGTGTGTGTATATATTTGTGTATGTGTGTGTATTTGTGTATGTATGTGTATGTGTGTGTATGTGTGTATGTATATATGTGTGAGTGTGTGTGTATTGTGTGTATTTGTGTGTATGTGTGTGTATGTATTTGTATGTGTATTTGTGTATGTGTGTGTATATTTGTGTATGTGTGTATTTGTGTGTATGTGTATGTGTGTGTATATGTGTGTGTATGTGTGTGGGGGGGCTGTTCATACCAACACACTGTTTGCAACACTGCCTTAACTCTCCACCTCTCCCCAGCTAGCTCCCAACCCAGATTACTTAGGATTCTTGAATTCTAATCCCTTCTTTGGAGTCCTGGTGTGGCGCTGTGGGCTAATGCATCAGACTGCAAAGTTGTGAGACTGCAAAACTGTCTGAACTACAATGTCAGTGGTTCCAGCTCACCAGCTAGCCGCTCCTTGGAAACCCTATACAGGGTCGCTATGGGTCGGAATCGACTTGATGACACTTAACAACAACAACAATCCCTTTTTTAGGCTATTTTCTCACATCCTCATTATGTGGCATTCTGGGAGAGCTGGGGTAACGCTGACCTTGACTGAGAGAAGTAAGTCTTCTAGGCTAAGTCCCTGATTTCTCTAGCTTTCCTCCCACAGCTGAATCCTGGCTCTGACTCACAATCAGCTCGACTCCACACGTAGCCTGCAGCTCCTACCTCCACCTGAGGAACCATGAGTCAAGCTGGGTTTCTTTACAAACTGGACATTACCTGCGAACGTTTCTCCGTCTCCATGTTTAAAACAGGCCATTTCTTCCTACAGAAAAGTACGGAGACCAACAGGATACGTGCCAGAGCCCCCTTAGTAACTCTTACCATTGTTGACTTTTGCTCTTTCAGAGAGCCCTAATGTCAGAGAGTCAGGGGTGCCCTGTGCGCCCTTGTCTCACTAGAAGAAACCGCGGCTCCAGATTTGCTTACTGAAAGGCACAATTCAATTTATATCAAACACAAATAAAGCTTCTAGAGCTGGCAATGCTGCAGAATAAGCATCAAACTGCTAACCACAAGGTCGGCAGTTCAAAACCATCAGCTGCTCCTTGGGAGAGAGATGAAGCTTTCTGCTTCTATAAAGATTTACAGCCTCCAAAACCCTGTACTCGCTGGCACAAAACAACAACTGGCTGGACTTAGGAGAGGTGAAAATATCAGACAACAAGATCAGTGACTTAAACATAAAGCAACAGAGTCACTCAAAAGCGAAGCCAAGGGGCAAGAGACCTAAAGCCACAGGAGCTGAGCCAGGGCCCGTGGGCAGGAGAGCAAGGGCCCGTGGGCAGGAGAGCCAGGGCCCGTGGGCAGGAGAGCCAGGGCCCGTGGGCAG